GGAAAATGGCCGCGGACCACGTGTCAGGGGCAGAAAAATGGCTGCGGACCACGGGTCAGGGGTGGAAAATGGCCGCGGACCACGTGTCAGGGGCAGAAAAATGGCTGCGGACCACGGGTCAGGGGCGGAAAAATGGCCGCGGACCACGGGCCAGGGGCGGAAAAATGGCCACGGACCACGTGTCAGGGGCGGAAAAATGCCCACGGACCACGTGTCAGGGGCGGAAAAATAGCCGCGGACCACGTGTCAGGGGCGGAAAATGGCCACGGACTGTGTCACGGGAAGGAAAATGGCCGCGTATCCTGTTCATACCCCGAGGCGGAGTTCACAAACCGAAGCAAAATTTTGCGGCTGGAGCTGGTCGTAACTCGAAAAGTTCGTTAACAGAAGCGTTCGTAACCCGAGGTTCCACTGTAACAGCAAAACTTTACTGGTTGCAAGGTACATTTGCTCTTTCTCATCCACACACACACGCACTCATCCACACTTACCCACGTCCTTCCCAACTAGGCTGCCAGGCACTAGCTAGAGGGAGGGAAGCCGCCAAGTCTGGATCCAAAAGTGACTCAGCGGACTCAGAACGTCCTTCCCAACTAGGCTGCCAGGCACTAGCTAGAGGGAGGGAAGCCGCCAAGTCTGGATCCAAAAGTGACTCAGCGGACTCAGAGTGAGCGGGCTTTGGGATCCCTTTTATCCCCAAAAGTCCTTGCTTTGTTGATTCACAAGTCTGGCAGTTGTTGATGGGATTGGGGTTTCCATGTGCTCAGGCCCAACTTTTTTTCTGGTTCAGGTCTTTTGTTTTTTCCCTTAACGACTTGCTTCCTTCTTATCTACCTCCCTGAAGGGATCTCATAGATAAGTTTCCTGGCTTTTGTCCTCTCTGCTTACGTGCCTGCTTCATCTTTAGGTTATGGCAGCTTCAGCCTAGTTTCATAATATCTTCCTTGAACACACCTATGCTGAAAATGGCAGCCTTTCCTACCAAACACTACCTATTTTACCCAGAGAACAAATAAAAATATGTACTAAATTATGAGCTTGAAATGGTTAAAGTATTGTTGTTGTTGTTTAGTCGTTAAGTCATGTCTGACTCTTCGTGACCCCATGAACCATA